CATAGCTATACTTGACCCATCAGAACTATACACTTCTACCACCGCATCGGTCGTCTTGCCCTCTCTAGCACATGAAACAGGCCAGCTCGACTCGCCTCCTAGTTTATTAGGATTGGGAACCCAGAATACCTCATCACTTGAGGACTGGGAGGAGGAATCTTTTTCAATCCCTCCTTCAAAAAGATCCCGGAATTCCAAATGATTAGGTAGAGTCAAGCTATTAAGAGACGATGGCTACAAATGAATACTAGGAGGTATCAGAGGGCCATTTCGAGCTACCTCCTCCCTGGTACGCAAAAGTACTGGGGCATCAGTTACATTGCGGAGCTCCCGCGAATATGACTCAGAGGAAGGGGTAATCCTGAGTTCCAGCTGCACCTTCTCTCCTACCCGAAGTCCTACCACATCGGGCACCGGATCCCTTTCCATAGTCGAATTCTTAACCGGGGAGGGGGATCTCATAGTGACCCAATCACTCAAGGAGAGAGAAGCTAGGTTGGTCAGGCCAAGACGCCTCCAATTTCGCCCCTAGGCTGGAAACAACGAACACAACCCTTGTCAAACTTTCCAGCCACATCCTCGTTCCACGAGGCCTTTTGTCCAATGGAGACCCTCCTTTAATTTACAGGAGAATCTTCAATCACAATTCCGTATCCCTCCTAAGCACCTCAGGAGGGAGAGATTAATTGGAAGTCCACCCTCCTTAACTACTACAGGAGAGACCCTTCGATCTCTCCTACACCCTACCCAGGAGAGGAACTTCAACCACGAGGACCTTCCTAAACTCCCCAGAGGAGGGCCTACCACACCAAGAAACACTAGTCGTGCTGTTTGAGCAAAAGAGGCCGCGCGTACATCCTAATCATGGAAGACCAAACACAGGGACACGCCTGGTCAAATTTACGGCCCGACACACTCATTTCGCGCGTAAAATTAGTTACCGCATACGCGGCGATAATTAATTGGTCCGTCATACGGAACTGGTGGTAATTTTCTTTTTAAAAAGGACAAATATAGTCATTCGTGGTTATCTGATGGTTGAGATCTTGCTCGTGGGTTAGTTCGGGAGATTTGCAGCTGTCTCGAACATTGAAGATTTAGCGAGCTGTGTGTGAACAGGCCGAGCTTATGGCTTTGCGGCGGCTGCGCGATGATGTCTGTGCGGAGTTCGGCTAAGATTTTTTTCTTTGCGTCCGTTCTACGCGGGCCCGCAATGGCAGGAATCGCCTGTTTTCCACACGAGCAAACCGACATGCGACCTGCAGCCCGTGACACGCATTGCAGGTTTAGTGGCCGTGTGGTCGGTCCAATAAACAGATACAAAATAGCTAGATAGACAGACAAACAAACAGATAGACTAGATAAAACCTTCCCAAAAACAGTTCTCCCTTTTCTGGGGTCGGCGGCAGGGGCGGCAGCCCTTAAATGAGAAAACACTCAACATTCCAAAAAACATGGTATCAGATTGGCAAGTCAAGAGCTTGTTGCTGCGAAGCACAGGAGTCTTGTCTGTCACCTATAAAGGCACAGCCTCTGTTCCGCTCTATAGGCTATAAGCGTTTCAATTTTGAAACTTCCGCCCTTGGTTTGCCCGGGTACTACTTGTAGTTTCAAGGCTGGTTCTCTGGCACCTTCCAAGATAATAATATGTTTGAAGCCACAACTAACAATCATTTTAGAACTGCGTCGAAATGACATCCTTTGCAATACAAGTGCTGGGCGCAAACGGTTCCCGTTGCTACACAGCGAATACCCTTCCTCGAACCTCCACACATAACAAAAATCTCTAGGCCCTAAACACAAAAACACAGAATCTTGTAAGTATTCAAACGATCACCTTTTACTTGAGAGCAATGAAATGGAATGTTGGTGGAAAATCCAGCATTAAACAGTTGGAGTAGGAGTGGTGCATTGGTGGTAGGTGGGTCAGCATTTCGCCTTGGCCCTCTGCAATCACCACCTGCACCATCCTTTAACCATGCAACAGAAAAGCATGACAAACGCAAGGCCACACAGAGAAAATGGCTGAGAAACTCGGGAACTTGCACTGGCGAAACTGATTCTTGCACTGGCTTTGCAGAAAACATGCCTTCAAATTCGAAGCTAAACAGATTGCTTGAGCAATTCGTTGCGAAACAGCTTGGTAGTGCCCTGATCCAAGGGTCCGATCCGATTCGATATCCGATTGAACTGAGGAGAAAAAATCTGCCAAACGACACGTGAAAAAAAAACATGTCAGGCACGTTGAAATGTTATTTCACGGTTTCACGGACGGTTTCACCCAAATCAGGAAAGAAGCCTTTTGGCATGTATGCTGCCATTGAGAAATTTCCAGGTGCAAACTTTCCGTCTAAGCAATCACGCCCAAACCGGAAACGCCCATTCTTGTGAAAGGCGGCTCAAGCGCTATCTGGCTGTGAAGCGAATTTTTTATAGAAGTGAAGTCAACTTCTTTCCGAGCCCCATCAAGTTGAAGGCTTCAGCTTCGGCCCATAAGATTTGAATACAAATCTAAAATTAGTAATCTGTCATGAGAACAAAGCATTGAAAGCATGTTCTTGTTTCCCGTGTGAAGCCCTAAGGAGCCCTATGATTCTCGCCACCAAGACTCTTTGCGGAAGATACGACGCATCTCGATGGCACGACCTGACAAATAAGCCGACGTAGATCCCCAACAGCGGTTGGTTTCAAACAGTGGTCCAACTTTGCAACCCAAGACGGATTAATGATGGCAGGAACAGGATTCCATAGCCTAAGTCTCTTCGGCGATTTTTTGCCCGCCCTGCCCCGTCCCCTTTTGGACCAAAGGCAAGATAAGACATGTTCTTTAAGAAAGCGCGCATAATTGAATTTACATACATTTGGTTACAAACGAATGGCAGTATTTGCAGACCACGGTGTGTCATTAAGTGTTTACAAAATTGTGTGTGTGTTGGTTTGGGATTATCTTGTCGTGCTTGGACAACGTCGGTCAGTTTGCGCAAGTGATTGGTGAAACAGTTGGTTTTGGCCAAATTGTCCATCATGATTCCAGAATTAGTTTCATGTCAATACTTGGTTGTTGTGTCACAACTGTGTCTGAAGTTTCATTGTGTGTTGCTGTTTGGTCACTTAGCTTTTAAAAAATCATCTACCTGGCTTCGAGAAGCCTCAAACAGGTTTGCTGCCAATATTTAGGTGTTCCAAGGCATCGAACTTAATTGCTTGATGTGGCATGTGCTTTGGTAGATGCGACATCGGAACAGTTCAAACAGAAGATTTTACAGCAACATCAGAACAGGTCAGTCGACCGACGCTGTGCGCCCACTGAGCAAACGAACATGAATCGGCATGTGCGGAACCCGCCACAAAGCACCCAAGATTGGCTGGGGGATTTCCGGAATCCCTTGTGTTCCTGGAACCTTGTCTTCCTGGAACCCTCGTTTCCGGAACCTTGGCACAACCCACAGCGTATATTGGAACCCTGGGTTTGCGGAACCGAGACGCGCTGATTTATTGTCACGCTGTGCCCCCCCCTGTCAGCGATTGCTCGTTGACAGGGCCTATATGGTCCTGGAACCTTGGTTTCCTTGAAAATTGGTTTTCTGGGACCCTGTCCGTAGCATGAACCTTGGTACAACCCACGGCGTATATCCGACCCCTGGGTTGTTTCCGGAACCTCGGAACCTTGCCAGAACCCTGGTTCTCTGGAACCTGGGCTGGGCTTCTTGAAAATTGTTGTTCCGCAACCTTGTCCCTGTCCGGAACCTGTGGCATAATCCAGGAAGTATATCCAAACTGTGGGTCCGCATCCGCGGTGGTTCTCGGAACCTTGTCGGAACCCAGTGTTGCTGGAACCTTGCCGGAATCCTCGTTCCCCAAACTCTGGGTTTCCAGGATGTTTCAAAATTGGTGTTCCGGTGATTCCAGAACCGCTCGAAACCATGGTAAGGTTCCCGGAACCTTGTCGAAAGCCAAGTGTGCCCGGAACCTTCCTGGCGCCGAGAACCTGGGGATCCCGGAACCTTGACGTCCCGGAACCCAAAAGGTAGCCAGAACCCATTGTTCCCAGAACCTTGCTTGAAAGTCTGGTTTGCGGAACCTGGAACCTTGCCCCGAACCCTGGTTCCCGGAACCCTGAGTTCCGGAACCTTGCCCGGAACCCTGGTTCCCGGAACCGGCAGCGGTTGGTTTCAAACAGTGGTCCAACTTTGCAACCCAAGACGGATTAATGATGGCAGGAACAGGATTCCATAGCCTAAGTCTCTTCGGCGATTTTTTGCCCGCCTTGCCCCCTCCCCTTTTGGACCAAAGGCAGGATGAGACATGTTCTTTAAGAAAGCGCGCATAGTTGAATTTACATACATTTGGTTACAAACGAATGGCAGTATTTGCAGACCACGGTGTGTCATTAAGTGTTTACAAAATTGTGTGTGTGTGTTGGTTTGGGATTATCTTGTCGTGCTTGGACAACATCGGTCAGTTTGCGCAAGTGATTGGTGAAACAGTTGGTTTTGGCCAAATTGTCCATCATGATTCCAGAATTAGTTTCATGTCAATACTTGGTTGTTGTGTCACAACTGTGTCTGAAGTTTCATTGTGTGTTGCTGTTTGGTCACTTAGCTTCAAAAAATCATCTACCTGGCTTCGAGAAGCCTCACACAGGTTTGCTGCCAATATTTAGGTGTTCCAAGGCATCGAACTTAATTGCTTGATGTGGCATGTGCTTTGGTAGATGCGACATCGGAACAGTTCAAACAGAAGATTTTACAGCAACATCAGAACAGGTCAGTCGACCGACGCTGTGCGCCCACTGAGCAAACGAACATGAATTCGGAATTCAGTGAGGGGCCACAAAGCACCCAAGATTGGCTGGGGGATTTCCGGAATCCCTTGTGTTCCTGGAACCTTGTGTCCCTGGAACCTTGTCTTCCTGGAACCCTCGTTTCCGGAACCTTGGCGCAACCCACAGCGTATATTGGAACCCTGGGTTTCCGGAACCGAGACGCGCTGATTTATTGTCACGCTGTCCCCCCCCCTGTCAGCGATTGCTCGTTGACCGGGCCCTTTTGGTCCTGGAACCTTGGTTTCCTTGCAAATTGGTTTTCTGGGACCCTGTCCGTAGCATGAACCTTGGTACAACCCACGGCGTATATCCGACCCCTGGGTTGTTTCCGGAACCTCGGAACCTTGCCAGAACTCTGACCTTGTCCCTGTCCGGAACCTGTGGCATAATCCAGGAAGTATATCCAAACTGTGGGTCCGCATCTGTGGTGGTTCTCGGAACCTTGTCGGAACCCAGTGTTGCTGGAACCTTGCCAGAATCCTGGTTCCCCAAACTCTGGGTTTGCAGGATGTCTCAAAATTGGTGTTCCGGTGATTCCAGAACTTTGGCACAATCCAGGCTCTGGCTGCTCGAAACCATGGTAAGGTTCCCGGAACCTTGTCGAAAGCCAAGTGTGCCCGGAACCTTCCCGGAACCTTGACGTCCCGGAACCCAAAAGGTAGCCAGAACCCATTGTTCCCAGAACCTTGCTTGAAAGTCTGGTTTGCGGAACCTTGGGTTCCTGGAACCTTGCCCCGAACCCTGGTTCCCGGAACCCTGGGTTCCCGGAACCTTGCCCCGAACCCTGGTTCCCGGAACCGGTTCTCGGAACCCTGGTTCCCGGAACCGGCGAAACGAGGCGGCATCGAGCAGTGCCCCGGAGCACCCCGAAGGCTATGTGGGCTGAGACCCCAAAGCATTCTGCTGTTGGGGAAAAAAGAAAGCTTTGCGGTGTTGCGCTGAGATCCAAAAATGTTGTGGCGCCTGGATAGCGAACATGTTCAACCATGCAGCCATCCTCATGCGAGAAATGACAGCCAAGCAACTGCCATCCTTTCCAAAAATCATACAGCAAAGTCCTCCAAATAACGGTCAATGGTGAGCTCATGCGGTGGATCTACATAACGAAGGCCAGCACGAAATACCTGCTGTTGGCCAGTTGAAGGCAGTTGAACAGTTGAGCAATTGAAATTAATTGAAATTAATCATAGTTTGGATAGTTTGGCAGTTTTGGCTCCCTGATTCTTTCGAAATATTGAAAAGCCGCGCTTCCCAAATGTCAGCCTCCCCGTCCCATCTAGGATGTAGCAATAGCATCTCTCGACCAGCATCATCACCTAGGGCCAAACTTCGCCAGGCTTTGCCAAATTCAAACTTGCGCGTCAAACATGTAAGCCTTGGTTCTTGGACTCTTTAAACAGATTTGAACACGCCAAAATTCTATGCCAGTTCTATGCGGAACCGAGAAGCTCATTGACACTTCTGCAGCTCCAACAGGAACCACTGATTCGCGCCTCAATGAGACCAGTGATCAAAGGAGGAAATCACGAAGCATTTCTGAACAATCATTGAACAATACGTCTCACCTGGGTGCTAATAGCGGAGGATTAACTTCGAAGACAAAGCGCAACTGGTCCTGTCATAAATGTCACGGAAAATTTCAAACTCTCTCATTAGAGCCTTTCCTGACTCGGAAAAGGTGTCACTCCTCGTCTTGCTCAATGGTCTGGGTGACCTTCGATTCTGTCCAAACAAACGCAGAATTTGTTAATTCATGGAGCAAGGAGGGGCAACTTTGCCAGGTTGAACAAGCATCTTCGGTTTGGCTGCTAGGCTGAAGGTACTCACCAGGTCACTTTATGCCATCTGAGTCTTAGGTTCGAGTAGGACTGATTGTGTCAACCGAGTCACGCGTGCAAATCCAGCAGCCTCGCAACATGCACTGCACAACTGAACAACACCCGTGTAACACCCGCGCAACATGCTACAATTTCTCAAGGCTTTGCACCCTGCCTTGGCTAAAAGGAAATTGTAGCCAATCGCTTGCATGAAGCCTGGGCCCCAAGGCTTGTGCAAACATATGAATTCAGTAGAAACATTGCCAAAATGACAACAGTTTAAAACCAAAAACAAAACCCACGTGCCCGACAGTAGCTGACATTGCCTAAAAAGTTCAATTCTTTGCATTCAGAGCAGCCGCTGAGGTTCTCTGCACGCTCCATCCGCCATCTGCCGCTTAAATTCGGCCGCTTTACCACGCCTGCTCAGCTCAAAGATCTGAGGATCTCAAGGATCTGAGTCGGATCTGAGTCGAAAAGCGAGATGTGCATGAGATGTGCACCAGCTTATGCCAGCCATTGCCAGCAATTGCCAGCCTTGATGTCTAGGTGTAAGGTCACCTGTGGTGGAGCTGAAATCGAGAAATGGCTGAAACTTGTCCGATTCTTGCCTTGGATGTATCGTCCGGCGGCAAAGACCTTGATGAACCGGCAAATGACAAAGGAGCAAACATTTACAACATTTCATGATCATTTCATGGTCATTTCATGCTTTGCTATACCTTTGCAAAAATGATGTTCTGCATTGCACACCGCAAAAAATCACAATTTGCAAATGCATCAACTATATGCAATTATGTCAAGATATGTCAAGTGCCAACTCTACAGTCCTCGAGGCAGGGGCTCTAGGCATTGCGCCGGCCAACACTGCTTCATTGCCGGCGCCAACCGGAGACTCAGTCGTTCGAACCCGTGACCCGTGCATTTCCTGGCTCAAACTTTCTCTGGGCATCCAACCACATTTGTCAGGGACAGGTTGCAACTCCAGAGCCTACACCAGGCAAAAAAAGGCAAAAAAAATCAACATGAAGCCAGCACTGCGAAGTCGTGAGCTTGGTTTGATGCTGCGACTTCGACAGATTTTGACATCAACAAACATGTCCAGCCACAGAAAGCCCAGCAAGATGCAGAGCTTATGTCTAGCCATTGCTCGCTGTCGAGCCATGTCACAACACACAGCTGCACACGTGAAACTGGTTTAAACTGTTGCATCATTTCAAAGCGCATTGCGGCAACACATTGAAACGATTTGGCAGGGAAGCTCTATGAGGCTCTCCTATGTGAATACCTAAGTTATGCAACTTCAGAGGCAGTGTCAAATGTCTGTCTGCTGCCCTCTGGGCTAAGCTTGAGCTAGATATTTCTTGAGCCAACCTTCATGTCTACCATTCAACTGCCGCCTGTGGCAATGTGCAACATCCAGAAAAGCGTGAAAAGCGTCGTGTCGTGTCAAACAATGTCCGAAAATGTCCGAAAGATGCATGGGTTTCACGGTTTCACATTGCGCAGCTCTTTTGGTGAGCTCTTCGATTCCATCTCTGCACTTAACCTTAGACATCCATAGACATCCCACATTCAAAGTTTGAGCTCTTGAAGAAAATTAAAACTCTAACCCAACTGAAGCTCTCCTAGGCAAAATGGCGAAAAGGGGCAAATGAACACACTTGTTCCTTCAAAAGTACTTTACGACGGCAATGCTTCAATTTGATGGATCGGACATTGAAACACTGAGAATTGCACACTGTGAACGGAGTGAAATGACGCACCTGCAAATAGCAGCACAACTGTTGCAAACCTTTGCGTTCTCTTTGTGTCCATGCCTGAACGATTTTGGACCGTTTTTGAAAACTTATCAGCCATCTAATTAGGCATGAGAAATGTATAGCTGAAGCACGCAGCATTGCACCTCACATGTCACTGACCAGCTTTGGCTTCTGAGTCCTGGAAAACTCAAGGCAAGTGTGACACGGTGCGGAAAAGCAGTAACTGTACTCATGACTGCACGCATGGAATGCTTTCAAGTGGTCAAAAATTCAGCGGGGCATCCCCTTCTCTGGACACTTGACAAGGGGTCAAGCCCACAGTGTTTTTCTGCAAATTGGAAAGTCAAACGAGGCAAGTGTATTGGCAAATTCCTCTTGCGGAAAAGATTTCAGCACCAATTGCACCAACCTTTGGAACGGACTTTTGCGGTGAAAACACCAACTCTGCTTTGGCACTTTGGCCACCTTGTGGGCAAAGCGCCGCAGCGCTGCAAATCTGCAATTTCCACCAACTTCATGTCACAGCGCCTATGTATTGTATGTAGATGTATGTAGACTGTAGCGGGTAACTTGAAATAACTTCACCAACTTGGGATGCCTAACACTTTTTGACGCCCAGGTGAATGGTGACACGGCTATTTCATCTGTTTCATCTCGCTTCCTGAAAGCTCAGATCGACTTCGGTCGGCTGAAATTGATCATGGATATGGCAACATATGGCAACCACATGCAGTGCACAGTGCACTGGCGGTCAAGCACCCAATGCACTCAATGCACATGCGCAAGGCGTCCTCGATTTTCACCTTGCATCACCTGAGGTGAGAAGTCACATGAGGCAAAAAAAGAGCAGACTCACAGTGGCGCCTGAAAGCCGTCGATAGTCAGTGACGTCAGGATCCTGACGCTTTGTCCTCAGTCGTGAATTGGAATCATTTTAGATTGAACTGAATGTATCTGAATGTAGGTTTCCATGCTCTCAGTCCTCTGAAACCTTCAGTTGGATAATGTTGTCATATGTTGTCTGTGTTAGTCTCCGGTGCCCGGTGCCTCCAGCAGGGGTACAAGAGCAGCATGACCTTGCACTCCGAATGATCCATGTCAAGCCCATTGAATTTTCACGAATCAAAAAATGGGCATTTGAAATTTGCATCATGCGACATGGCGTAGACATGGCGAAGACATGCAGAGCCAGAAGAAACATTTGTTGCATTTGAAGAAACTTCTTCTGCGACTTTATTGCAACAAATGGAACAAGCACAGTGCTGCCTCGAACTGACAAACGCTCAGGAACGAAATGCAGAGGTTTCTCATTAAGGCAAACACCATTGTAGCAAGAACTGAGATGCACCACAAGTCCTTGAGTTCAAGGTTTCGAAAGCGCGTGAAAATCCGTAAATGGGAACATTGTGAATCCCACCTAGGCCAAAACAGCTTCAGACTGAGATTTGAAACTCGCAATGTGGTCACCACATTTCATAACTTGCCACAGTTTCTGCATGTTTCTGCCAAGCATCCAAGGCTACACGATGCTGAAACCTGGCAATGCGGAGCGCTTCCTTTCAGATTTCAATGTCTTCAATTCAACTTCAATTCAACTTCAATTGTCTTCGTGTCTTCGATGTACGGCGCTGTACAATGAGTGTACAAAGTGTACAATGCTCTTGGGCAGAATCACCGGCATCGGGCGGCAGAGCTTTTTCCCACAGCATGCTGCTGTCAAGCGGTTGAACATTCTCACGATGCTCCGAAGCAGGATTGAAGCTGGATTGAGAAAGTCGAACATGCGAGGTGCCTTCTTCTTTAATGCGAAGTCTTTGTGCAACTAGGGACTATGCGGAGCATCATCCAACCCCTATCATTGGGTCATTGGTCAGGGCATCTTGCCTAAAGCAAGACCGGAAAAGCTACCAATGAAAAGCTACCGCAAGGGTCTGCCACAACCATCCTCATGACTCATCATTGAGCCTCATCATTCCCTCATGAGTCCCTCATGATTCACTTTGAATCCTCCATGATTTTAGATAAGGCCTGGCGGCCAGGGTCTGCAAGAAACTAAATTGGAAAGACAAAATCTTGTCTTCTCTGTGATGAGATTTCTTCCCAGACTCCAGGCTTACAACATTTTCTCTTCTTTACATGAGGATAGTTCTAAATTCCCCAGTGGGGAAGTTCACAGCATTGCGAAACAACAAAAGCTGCCTCTCCAGAAGGCTTGTCCTAAGTCAACCTAGCCAACTCGTGTCTTCCACCTTCCATGTGTCTTCCATGCGTCTTTTCCGTGCCTGTCACCTTTGCTTGGACTCAGATTGAGAAGCACTTGTCCTGGATCGCACTAAATGCGGACATGCATGCTTACAAAAAGTAAAATATGCACTTTGCCATAGTTTGTGATTGTGTAATCAAAGTCAAACCTGGCTGCATTTCGATGACCATGGAAATAATGCGGAAAAAACATGGCATACTGAATGAATCTATATGTGCCTGTTCTATTGTTTTCATATCTTTTCATCCGTCTTGCAGTCCTCAGCAAAGTGTTTGTCTTGCAGAGTCACATGAACCTCCGGAGCTCGTTCAGGTCTTTCAGGTCGGAAAGGTTTCTTGGGCACATCTGGATGAAGTCTTCTTTGGGCCTGAGCACGACAGACACAAGACAGACACAACCGATCTCGGGGAATCCCGGGGAATCCCGGGGAATCCGTCCCTGGTGATTCCAATGATTCCAAGGCCAAACATCCCAAACATCCCATCCAATCAAAACACATCGAAACAACGTGCCGCGCCTTGGAGGCGAAGCGTTGATGGACCAAGTCACGGATCCCATCCAGGCCGCTGCGCCCAGCTTCCAGCACACTTTGAAGTACATCCTGTGTCTCTGCAGATTCTCTGCAGATTCTGTGCAGATTCTGTAATCTTGAGACTCTAAGCGCTTCGAATCTTCTTTGAATCTTATTCGAAATATCCAATATCACCGCATCATGAGAATTGAGGAGAACTTGTGGACAAACTCCAAAACAACTCCCTTGAGATAGCAAATGCAAAAATGCAAACTTGCGTCAGCTGAGGCACAGCTGTTTCTGCTTGAGAGCATTGCAAGTTGGATGGATCAAAGTCTAGAATTTGGTCTGCGATTCGATTCTCCGGATCAGGCAAGATGATGACCTCCTTGGCAACGCGTTGCGTTAACTGCGTTAACCGCGTTAAGCAACGTCAGGCGTTAACGAGATCAGCACATGCCGCATATGGCGATTCCAAGGATTCCACCAGCGTCTGCAACATTCTGCAACGGCGTCTCGTCTGCAACTGAGCTTCGAGATTCTCAAGGGATCCACCCATCTCCAGGAAGACGAAAAGCTCGATGACACACCAAAGTCTCGCAGGGACAGCCCTCTGTGACTGGATCTGGGTCGCAACATGTCACAACACTAGAAATTTTGAAAGTGTGGGTAACATCCATCCAGTTTCACAGCACAAGTCGGGCCTCGTGAGGTAGGTTTCCCCACAAATCACAACCATCTTGCTGCAAGATGCCAGGTAGATGGGCAAACAAGCCTTTCGGCAGAATCATTACGATTGACATGAATCGACATGAAGTGACATGTTTGGAATAGGTCACTTAGAAGGTCGAAGGACTGGTCAAAGCGTACCATTGTTGAAACCATCCGACCTTGTTGCCCTTTGGAACAAACCTGGTCTCATCTCTTGCAATGCTATGCAGGGCTATGCAGTCTGGTTGCCAAAGAGTTCTTGAAGTCGTTCTGATCAATGCCTTAGAGTCAAGCGGTATGCTCTGCAAATATCGAATTTTTCTTGGTACATTCTTTGCGCATTGTCCCAAATTTCCGAGTTTGATGCAAGTGGCAGTATTTGTCAATCCAAAGCCTGGGTTCCGCTTGGTGTTGCCGCTTAAAGTGTTTTCGCCATCCCTGAAGCGCACTCCTTGGCAGACAGACGATGAAGTGCATGACGTGTTTCTAGTTCCGTTTTAAGCACCTTCCTCTGAGAATATGTTTTTTGTACAAGGCAAAAACTCGCACAACGATAAAATGTTTTTTGGAAAAACGTTTTGTTGTGAAGATCTGCAGAAAAGTTGCCACTTCGCCAACGGATCATCAGTCCAGCTGTGACTAATGAAGGCATCGGCTTCCCCAAGCCGAGTTCGCCGTGCCAGCTTTCCAAGCTTGTAACTGGCGAGACAGGAGTTTCAACTGCAATGACGCTGTTGCCGTGTGTTACATTGTTGCAGTCAGTTCCCCACCAAAAAACAATATATCCAACAAGGAATATCAATCTAGAAAAAATAGGGATGTGACATGAGATATAAAGTATGATGTATGATGTATGATGTATGATGTACGGTAAATGATATATGATATATCATATATGATATTTGATATATGATATTTGATATATGATATATGATATTTGATACATGATACTTGACGTATGATCAAAGGAAATTGGGAAGCAATCTTCTGAGTTACGGACAAATAGAATTGTGATACCTTACATCCCAAAACAATAGATGCACGCAGGGTGGTGTGAGACTGTACATCACAAACAATACATCACATAACATTACATCACAAAACACTACATCACACAACAATACATCCAATAACAATACATCAAGGGAAGTGGTGGCTATGACCAAGGGTGGTGACGAAGGGAAGTGGTGACGAAGGGAAGTGGTGACCTGGGGAAGTGATGACTCAGGGAAGTGGTGACCTAGGGAAGTGGTGACTCAGGGAAGTGGTGACGAAGGAAGTGGTGACGACGAAGGGAAGTGGTGAGCTAGTGAAGTGGTGACTTTGGGCAGTGGTGATTGTAGCGGCTGCATGAATGTTGCATGGGATTCCTGTTGGGGAGGAAGCCGGAGAACGAAACCATGTGCTTATCCGTGTAAAGTGGCTTCAGCCGGCGATGAAAGGTACCTCGTGTGTGCGACGGGTGCGGCTGCGCTCGTTTCATCGTCGAATCGGTTCCTCCTCTGCGTTCTGCAACGAGTGGTTGTTCGTGTGTGCGTAGTTATAAAATGTTTTGGAATTTGTGGTTGCTGATGCTGCAAAACGCACTGTCATGGCTGCATGAATGTTGCATGTGGCTTGTCGGGGAGGAAGCCGGAGCACGAAACCGTGCGTTTTTCCGTGTGAAGTGGCTTAGGCCGGTGATGAACATACCTCGTGCGCATGGCGGGTGCGGCTGCGATCGTTTCAACGTCGAATCCATTCTCCCTTGGTGTTCTGCAACGTGTGGTTGTTCATGTGTGCGTACTTCTTTGCGCTTGTTGAATCTTTGGCAACAGATCGACGTGAATGGCTGTATGATTGTTGCCATGTTCTGTTGCCATGTGCGTAGAGAGATGCGGATTAGCCACTTGATGCTGCAAAACGCATTGTAATGGCTGCGTCTATGTTGCTTGGCGCCGCGGCTGCGTGCGTAATACTATTGTCTTTTGCAGCTGGACATTGTAAATCGTATTGGAGTGGCTGCATCAAGGCTGCGATAATGATTTGTCAGCAGATTTTCTCAAATTATTAGGCGCTTGTGATTTTCCTAAAATTTCTTTTCAAAAGTGCTTCAAAATCTTTTTTTCCGCTTTGGCGCCGAGATCCGGTTTTGGAGGTGCAATTTCTCACGCTGTTGCGCTAGTTCTATTGTGCTTTACAGTTCAATATCTCGATATCGCATTGTAATGGCTGCGTCAAGGTTGCTTGGGGCCGCGGCTGCATGCGTAGTGCTATTGTCTTTTGCAGCTGGGCATTGTAAATCATGGTGGAGTGGCTGCATCGAGGCTGCGATAGTGCTTTGTCAGCAGATTTTCTCAATTTTGGCGCCGGTGATTTTCCTTTTAAATTCCTTTTGAAAAGTGCTTCGCAATCGTGTTTTTTTGCTTTGGCGCCGAGATCCGGTTTTGGAAGTGCAATTTCTCACATCATTGCGCGTAGTTCTATTGTGTCTTGCAATTCAATATCTCGATATCGCATTGTAAACAATGGCTGCGTCAAGTTTGCTTGGTGCCGCGGCTGCATGCATAATACTATTGTCTTTTGTAGCTGGACATCGTAAATCGTAATGGAGTGGCTGCATCAAGGCTGCGATAGTGATTTGTCAGCAGATTTTCTCAATTTAGGCGCTTGTGATTTTCCTTTGAAAATTCCTTTTCAAAAGTGTTCAAAATCTTTTTTTTCGCTTTGGCGCCGAGATCCGGTTTTGGAGGTGCAATTTCTCACGCTGTTGCGATAGTTCTATTGTGCTTTGCAGTTCAATATCTCAAAATCGCATTGTATACAATGGCTGCGTCAAGGTTGCTTGGTGCCGCGGCTGCATGCATAATACTATTGTCTTTTGCAGCTGGACATCGTAAATCGTAATGGAGTGGCTGCATCAAGGCTGCGATAGTGATTTGTCAGCAGATTTTCTCAATTTAGGCGCTTGTGATTTTCCTTTGAAAATTCCTTTTCAAAAGTGTTCAAAATCTTCTTTTCCGCTTTGGCGCCGAGATCCGGTTTTGGAGGTGCAATTTCTCACGCCGTTGCGATAATTCTATTGTGCTTTGCAGTTCAATATCTCAAGATCGCATTGTATACAATGGCTGCGTCAAGGTTGCTTGGTGCCGCGGCTGCATGCGTAGTGCTATTGATGCTATTTATTGTCTTTTGCAGCTGGGCATTGTAAATCATGGTGGAGTGGCTGCATCGAGGCTGCGATAGTGATTTGTCAGCAGATTTTCTCAATTTTGGCGCTGGTGATTTTCCTTTCAAATTCCTTTTAAAAAGTGCTTCGCAATCGTGCTTTTTTGCTTTGGCGCGGAGATCCGGTTTTGGAGCTGCAATTTTATTTTCATTATGTACCAGAAAGTTTCTCTGTGTAAAACCTCTTTGTGTAAAAGCTTGCTTTTGTGCAAGCTTTGTAGTACAAAGTAGTACTGGGAAGTGCTTTGTGCAAGCTTTGCAGTGCAAAGATGTATTTTGTGCAATCTTTGTAGAACAAAGTAGTACTGCAGAGTACTTTGTGCAAGCTTTGTAGTGCAAAGTAGTACTGGGAAGTGCTTTGTGCAAGCTTTGCAGTACACAGCAGTACTAGGAAGTACTTTGTGCAAGCTTTGTAGTAAAAAGTAGCTGAGAAGTGCTTTGTGCAAGCTTTCTAGTACAAAGTAGTACTGGGAAGTGCTTTGTGCAAGCTGTGTAGTGCAAAGATGTATTTTGTGCAAGCTTTGTAGTACACAGTAGTACTGGGAAGTACTCTGTGCAAGCTTTGTAGTACAAAGTAGTACTGGGAAATGCTTTGCGCAAGTCTTGTAGTACAAAGTAGTACTGGGGAGTGCTTTGTGCAAGCTTTGTAGTACAAAGTAGTACTGGGAAGTGCCATGTGCAAGGTTTGTAGTACAAAGTAGTACTGGGAAGTACGTAGTACTGGGAAGTGCTCTGTGCAAGCTTTGTAGTACAAAGTAGCCCTGGGGAGTACTTTTTGCAAGCTTTGTAGTACAAAGTAGTACTGGGAAGTGCTTTGTGCAAGCTTTCTAGTACAAAGTAGTACTGGGGAGCACTTTGTGCAAGTTTTGTAGTACAAAGTAGTACTGGGAAGTGCTTTGTGCAAGCTTTATAGTGCAAAGATGTATTTTGTGCAAGCTTTGTAGTACACAGTAGTCCTGGGAAGTACTCTGTGCAAGCTTTCTAGTACAAAGTAGTGCTGGGAAGTACTTTGTGCAATCTTTGTAGTACAAAGTAGTACTAGGAAGTACTTTGTGCAAGCTGTGTAGTACAAAGTAATAGTGGGAAGTACTACGTGCAAGCTTTGTAGCACAAAGTAGCCAAAGTAGTAATGGGAAGGGCTTTGTGCAAGCTTTGTGCTACAAAGTATTTGGGGAAGGCTTTTCTGTGTCAATGCATCTGTGTCTCAAGCTTCTGTGTGCAAAAGCCTTCTGCCCCCGATGGTTTTTGTGCAAGAGACTTCTCTCTGACAATAAAAGCTTTCTGGCGTGCAGAGCAGCTGAGATGAGTTGAGACGAACTTCAAGGAGATGAGAAAGGTTGATCAGTGCTCGGATGAGATGAAAACGTTGAGAAGAACTTACTTAGATGACATGTGAGAAGAGATGGGATGAGATGAGAAGAGGTGAGATGAGGTGAGAAGAGGTGAGATGAGGTGACAAGAGCTCACATGATATGAGATGAGATGAAGTGCCGAGTATGAAGTGCAAGTGTGAAGTGTGAAGTACGGGGTGTGAAGAGTGCAGTGTGAAGTGTGAAGAAAGTGTTTGCTTGGCGTTGCATTGCGCCGGGGTCGCGCGCAGGTCATGTTCTTAGACAAGCACCGTGCAACACAAAGCACGCACGCACGGGCCTGGCCGGCGCACGGGGCATGCAAATTCTATAGATGAAAAAGATCTTTTAGTATAACCCTAAGGCAACTTCTGCCCCGCCTCGTGCGGGTACTACTGGTATATGAGATTATACCGGTAGTGCCCGGCCCATGCCGGGGCGGAAGTTTCGAAAAAATGAAATAACTGTAGGAAATCAATGGCCTATAGGAAAGCATTTGCGATGCAGAAGCAACGAAGTGTTGTGAAGTTGTGAGGTGCATCAACGAATGCGCAAATGGGTGTTGAGATGCCCATGACATGAAAAAATCCATGCGCAGCTCACTGAATTAACCGATGAATCAAGGATTCAACCAATCAATGAACCAGTGCATCAATACTTGAATCATCCAGCGAGTCAATGAATCAACGAAACAATGATTCAGTTAATCAATGAAGCAGTGACCCCCTGAATCAAGGAATCAATGAGTCAATAAGTGAATGATTCAATGTTTCAATGAGTCAATGCATCATCAATGGTTCAATGTTTCAATGAGTCGATGCATCAATGAATCACCGAATCATTGAATCAATGAACCAATGAATCAGTGAATCAACGAACCAACGAACCAATGAATGACCGGTTCAACGATTCAGTGAGTCAATGAGTCAATGAATCAGTGAATCAATGAAGCAATGAATCAATAAATCATTGGTTCAAGGAGTCAGTGAGTCACAAAGTCAATGAATCAATGAATCGGTGAATCAATGAATCAATGAATGAGTGAGTGAGGGAG